GCCTTTGTTGCTTAGTGAGGATGAGCATAATAATATCCCCTTAATAAAGGCCAAATCTTTCTTTACTTCAAGAAAATCCAGTTGGGGCTGAAGTTATTGAGCACCATTTCTTGTGCAAGATTGGTTTTCCTTAGGTGCAGCATACGTATGTCTATTTGTCACAAAATGAATGGTCGGATACTGAAACCGTCCGTGTGGGGGTCTTTTTATGGCAAAAGTATTGTTCGTAAATTTGTTGCAGAAAATGGGAAGATGCAATAAAATGAAAATCGCCGTTGTTATTTTATACAAGGAGGAGAATTCAGGCACTTAATTCCTGTGTTCACAGATAAACTAAAGGGAGGGGCAAAATTTGTTGATGATGAGGAGTAGTCTACTTGACTACTTCTCCTTTTTAATAAAACGACCTGTTTAATAAAACGACGCTAATAGACATACTTGAGAAAATATTATGACAAGAATCAGTTGACTTTATAAGGGTGCTAAACAAGACATGTAATAAAAATCAATGGAACCTGTTGCAGTGCCATACTTCAGAATCATTTTAAGTTAGGAAATAAAAATTACTTCTAAAAGCTAAAGCAGTTCCATAAGATCCTTCATTATATGCACCTGAAGTTTACATATTATGCCTTCAAATATCAATTTCCATCCAAGAGACCAAATGCAATCCAATTTTCTCATTTAACTGTGCTTGCATTTAATTTGCAGGTTCACAGGCTGTTGTTAGCTATATTCTGGAAAAAGAGTTGCCATCAATGTCATTTTCATTAGTGGCTGAAGAGGTATAGTCTGTGATTGGTTTTTATACTGGTTATTGAAAAAATATCCATGTTTGTGAACCTATTGATTATGTGGCCTATTTTGGCTTCTCTCTTCGTTCCTCTTTCTACAAGGTGGTTTATTTCTTTCTTTCTTTTTTTTTTTTTCCCTAGAAATAACATTTTAAAGCTTATTCTCCCATCAAACGTGGTCAAGTTATTTACCTTCTTCTGTTTGAATGGAGTATATGAAGATTGAGTATTTCTAGGATTCAGAAGACCTCCGCAAAGAAGAAGCCCAGGGTACACTAAAGCGCATAACAGAGCTTGTGAATGAAACCCTTGCTAGTGATGGAATGGCAGATATGATGCCTTTGTCTGAGGAAGATGTACTTGTTGCCATCGACAGTGGAAAATCTGAAGGCGGTCCTCATGGTCAGCACTGGGTTTTGGATCCTATTGATGGCACCAAAGGGTGAGTTCGTAGATTGAACTAAATTTCCTCTTGGCTTGATGTGATTGCCGAAGATTTAGTTTTATTGGGCTTTTTAGTAGTTAAAGTGCTAAATTGAATGAAGTGGCATATAATAATACTTAGCCGACTCCAAGTTTATTAAGAATTAGACTGGGTATAGAAGGTCATACAAGACTTGTAGGCCTGCTGCATCATTTGTTCCAAATCTAGAGAAGTATGTTCTACTTAGTTGTTTTGAACTACCAAGCCAACATACTAACACACTGAGTGGCACATTCTTGACTTAATTTAGGCATTTATGGACGTGATTGGAGTTGTTTCATAATTTTGAAATTTATGTCATATGGTCAAGATAAAAATAAAAAAGTAGTAAAAGAACCTAGAAGATTAGATAAGATTCGAACATGCTCTCTCTGACTCCCCCCCCCCCCCCCCCCCCCCCC